GCGCAATGCAAAGAGGCCCAAAAATTTGGGTATCAGAACCATAAATCTTTAAGTGACGTAATTTTGGCTACGGTAGCCGTCGATTTAGGTATTTTTGCCCTTGTGTGAGCGAACAATGGCAGCAACGACGATGCCATTTTGTTGCTTGTCTCTTCTTTTGCGTGAACAGACCAAAGAATCGAATCTTGACAGCCCGTGCAACAAAAACGACAAATGCACAACCTGATAGCTACTGGCTTGGCAACAGTGTAAGTTGATCTTCTTGTGGTTTGGAGGGGCTCGAGGCAAGCGTCGAAATGTTGGGGTGTAACTGAAACCTGTTTTGGGTATCGGCTGAACCTCCGTCATCTTTCTGCCACGTTTTTCTCGCTTCTCACTTCTTTGCTTTACCGTCGTTTCAAGCTCAAGTCACTGCTCTCTCGTGTAGGCGCTGCAATAGCTGTTCGGTGTCTTCCCCTACGCTCCTGCCTTCACCGCTCGAATTTTATTAAGAAGACATACGTCAAAGGCAACAATTTGCGGGATACCGGTATACCATTGAGTTTTCCCCAACAAATTTGACTTCACGAGTCACTACTTTACTTTGTTTTGGCATCAACCCAACACACCATGCCTCCTTCAGCAGTTTTTTGTTTTTAGGACAGGAGAATAATTGCCCCTCCAATGTTTTGGAATTGGCCAGCGTGGAACTAGACGGTCTCAAGGCCAATGGCCCCACCTATCATTCTTTCCCTCCAGCTTGCCACGCTCTACTGATGAACATTGAAGGAAACAATCGATGTATTGACTGCGGAGCCAACAATCCACAATGGGCCACTGTGACCTATGGAGCGCTGCTCTGTCTTAAATGTAGCGGTATGCATCGATCGCTGGGAGTGCAGGTGAGCTTGGCTTTTTGAAGAAGAATTGGGAAGCATTATCTCTTTGATCGAAACTAAGCCTTCATTGTCTCCCTCGAAAGGTCTCTTGTGTGAGGTCTGTTACCATGGATGATTGGTCATTGCAAGATGTGCTTACAATGTTGGAAGGGGGAAACGGTCAATTGCGAACATTTTTCACAAGACACGCTCTTTGCGAGAACACTGCTCATGACAAACCAGGAAAGGTCATCAATTCAGAGAATGTGACTCTGATGCGCTACAAAACGAAAGCAGCGCTCTTTTATAAACAACAATTGGATCTGCATGTAGGGAGAGTACTTCAAGCATTACCGTACCGAGGCAGGGAACATTCACGGGGGTTAAAGAATCATCAACAGAGACCGCTCTCGAAAGCAAACTCGACAATTTGAAGACTCTTATCTGATCTAGAAAGTGACAGAAGCTAGGGTGTGTGTTCGAACGAGCAAAAAATTGCAGTGTGGAAGCCCTTCATTCTGGTATCAGAGCTGCCCTATGGGATCGAATTGAAACAGATCATCCCGATTTTAAGCGGATGTATTTCGCGGTGCCGATCCGTGCAAATGACAAGCACTATCATAGACCGAGCGCAAAAGTGAACGACAAAGTTCTGAATAGCACCATACCTAAATATACAACTCTTCACCTGGGATGCCGTGGATTCGAGTATAGTTGCCCCCGCCCTCTCCAGTGCAGTGCCCTTGAAAGATATGCTTCTTGTGCTGCCCCATTGCCCCACCGTAGACCGAAGAGTCTCCTGTAAAGATTTCAATCTCGCGTTCAAGGTCCGCACGAATAAGGTGCCATCGTGTGACAAGCTCCATGCAATGGTCTGGTGGTGTGATGTTTTGCATGCATGATGTTGTGAGAGGCGTGGCTTCGAAAGAAACATCCCAAGGATGACTCAACGTACCAAAGTTCCCAGCATTAGTATCTATAGCACTAGCAGGCTTTTGCCCCGGGATACGACCGCCGCCATGGCCAACTCCAATGCAATTCCACGGTTTTCTGCCTGGATGGAGAGCAAACGAACGAATGACTGTCAGTGGCTCATTTTGATTTATTTGCTTCATTCTCATTCAACATCTCGGAAAACTCACATTGTGTAAAATGAACATTGTAGATCGAGCTTACATTGGTTATCATGCAGTCTTCGCAGAACTCTCTGTTGTTGCGGCATCTCCCAATCTTTCGTTTCTTTCTTGAAATAAAGTTTGGCGGGTGTCGATATCGTACATCCATCCCCCTTAACGAGTACAGCCGCCATGCCATAATTAGGTGAAGATCACTTCTGCGAGCAATAGGACCAGTATGAAAACGGAACTCACATATGATTGAACCTGCATTATGAGGAAGTTGCAGCACTAGTATCAGACAGCTCCGATTCCAAAACGTCACGAGATAAAACAATCACTCTTACCTGCACTGATTGAGTTCCACAGCCACGTTGGGCTTCACAATGTCGTAATAGTAGGCTAGCAATCCCTACAAAAGAGGAGCAAAATTAGACGTTGGGCATGCGTGTTTATAACAATGGTTCTTCGGTGAGCCCGGCACAGCTTACCTGCATCGCCATAGCTCCAACGAACCCCCCTTCGAATGGAACAGATCAAATCGAATCCAAGTAGTACATGTAACGTCAGAGGCGAGGTGATTTTGCTGCTCACTGGAGGCATCTCAAGGATCCTTACCATACCCCGCATCACCCCACCCATTTTTCAAATTGTACCCCCCACTAAAGTTGCCTTCTCGGACGACATTGATGGTTTCTTCCACCATTTGAGGATTGCGACGTGCTACTAGAAATCCAGCTTGATAGAGCGCTTTTCTTCCTGGTATCACTTGAGGCCAATCTCTCGTGATGAATGCATCAATGACATCTGGCAATGGCTCTTCTGGTCGTTCTCGAGGAATGTTGGCTCTGGCCCTCTGACCCCGAACAGAATCCTTCGGAAACAGAATGGCATCAAATAGATCGTCCATTGGTTTGAGAAACAGAAAATCAATGTCCGTATGAACTACAATCGGTTCTGGCAGTGTTGTCGCATATAGTTTGATCAACTCTGCACTCCCACAACACCATTCCGACTCAATATGGTCTCGGAGATACTCTCCCTTGATTTCCTGTGGGTATATTGGAGGATCCTTGACCACAATTTCAAATCCTGCTTTTTTGAGTACATGACTGCATGGCTCTGCTTGTCGATGGACCAGTGCGTACATGCGATAATCGTAGCGACTATTAATACCACTCTGCTGTTGATTGCGTATCGATATCCTGTGAATGGAGTGTCGCATGACGAGAGCTGCATCGACCAAACCAGCGTCGTTACTCTGCTTGTCCCCACATTTGATCAAGGATATGGCGTAGGCTACCGTCGCAGTGGCGTTTCGTGTTTTTTGTTGAACGTCAACGCTTTGCTCTCGCTTTGTACTGGCAGGCACGACCACCATCTTTTTCTCTTGTTCCGTTGCCGAGGGAGACTTGGCCGTTAGCAGAATGAGCCTGAGTTGCAGGGCCATGACGACGAATCCGAATACCCAGAGCACATTCCACAACCAGCTGGTTCTTGGGTTTGAATGCTTGCCATCGCGAGTCTTCATAGTCAGCAAGGATTATCTAATGGCACTACTAGTACTAGGATCAGAGAGCGACAATTGAGGGAGGTTGTGGTGTTGTGGTCGAGGAACCAAAGAAAAATGAGGGGGAGTGTGCTTTCTAGCCTCGGAGTATGGGGAAATGAGGCATTTGATGTCAAATTGACATTTTGATGTCAATATTGTCAATTGATGGTTACTGACACTTTTGACAAGACTCAAACCGTCAATTTGTCAATGTTGATCAATGTCGATCAATTGATGTCAACAAGAATCAATTTGTCAGTGTTGACATCAAAATATCAAACTGATCAACGTTGATCAATTTTGACTTTGATTGACTCTGATTGACTCAAAAAATCCTCAATTGGATGTTGACAGTTTTCTTTGAATCAATTTTGATTTTTCCTTGACAGTTTTGACAGGACCATTTGATGTGCTGCTCACTGCTCACAGCTGCTAATGTAACTCTCACAGCGGCTACTCCTCTCTCATGACTGCTACCATATCACCACCATGACAGGCTCCTCTAGTTGGGTTAGAAGCCGCCGCAGCGAGCGTTCGACGGATCGATTCGTTCGACACTTTTTCTGCCGCGGAACAACCATGAATCAGAGCAACCATGACGCCTGCAACAACAATCGACTAATACTTTATTCCTCGACCATGATGACGCTGCCTTTTCCACGGAGTAACTCCTCTTTCACGGAGCGACCATAGCTACCACGGCGAACAGAGCTAATGCAGCGAGTTGATGATTCTTTGCTTCGAGCCGCGGTGCGCGAATCGATTTCATGGAAAGCTGCTTCGATCAATAACAAAGGAGTCACTACAGGAGAATTAATACACTTGGTTTGACTGATCGATTTGGTTGTCTTTGCTCCTTGTCAGATGATGGAGCCTCTACTGCCTGCTATCGCTACTGTACCAAGCCCATTATGGGTCAACAGGCTATCAATCATTAACAAACTCCGACGAGCGACCATGGCGCCTGATGATGCATCGTCTCGAAAACGACGAGAGTGCAGCTCTACTAGCACAGCCAATAAACATCCTATTAGCTCTAGAGTGCAACTGTTGCTATCACTGTCTACGGTACCATAGTTGGTTCTTGAATGGAATAATAAGGGTGATTGCGTCATTGCCCTTTGCCTTTGATGCAGAAACCTCAACTCAAAAGTTCAATTTGTCAATGTTGATCAATTTTTATCAACATTGATCAATGTTGAGTTAAAAAAAGCCTCAAAAAATCAAAAAAAGAATTGACAGTGTTGACTGATGCTGATTGACGTTGATTTTGCTGATTTGCATCAATTTGTCAATTTTGATGTTGACAGGTGTTGAACCGTTTTGACTGTCAAAAAATCAAAAAATGTCAAAACCAATCAAAATTGAGTCTTGGTTCCATGGATTGACATCAAAATGTCAATTTGACATCAAATGCCTCATTTCCCGGTAGTCCCTTTGAAAACCTTCACTCTAAACGGTTCGCGTTACCAATCTCCACTTCCAGCGCAGTAACTTGTACGTACCGTATGCTATAGTCGTATGTCCACACAAGGTTAACTTGATGGAAAATCTTGAGTCATGACTTGAGTTTTTGAGATTTGACTCAAGTCAGTACAGTACAGTCATACTCAAGTCAGCATCAAGTCGTGACTCAAGATTTTGCAAAAACATCTTTGACTTGAGTCAACGCGTTTTTGCCAAGTCGCACGTTCAAATGATAGCAAAATCGAATTTTGTTTTGTATAATTTAAAATGCACCAAAAAAGCACGAAATCGAGAATGGAATCAAGCCACCCGGCTTAGTAGAACTGGTACCATGTTGTTGTGTGGACAGGAGGGGTTCTCTTGAGTGCTGACTTGAGTCAAATCTAAAAAACTCAAGTCATGACCCAAGATTTCAGCCCTTGCGCGGACATTAGAGTAGCTGGTAGGAGGTGAACACCCTGACCACCACAGCAGCAGGGGATCGGCGTGGTTAGAGATTTAAAAGGGCTAACGGTCTAATTACCAAGCTCGATGGCATGTCTGAATTAATCGTGTTGTGACGTCATGTGAGATTGGAACTAAAACGCACCCAAGCAGTTCACAGCACCACAAGCAGCAAGAGAGTTAAGTCAGCGGGAGCTGTGATACCTAGGCAGAAAGACAAATAGAAGAAAAAGGAGCATGTTTGAGATTGCACCTTTCTTTCAAGGTAGCCCTGGCGACTTTCGCCCGGTATCATTCCCTCATTGTAACCTTTTTTTTATTTAAGCTAGCCCTGGCGACAACACACGACGAAGCCCCCCGCTAACCATAATTTTACAGCTGTCATTCCCTTATGTAACTGTAACCTTTGTAGCTTCTGTAGGCTTATTGTGTTGAGTGCACTAACCTTGAATAATTATGATGTATTCCTACCCCCAATCTTGTTAAACCTTCAATTTCCAGTTTTGTTGGCTTAAAACTATCTCTATCCCTATATTTTGGCTTCACCGGAATAAGAAACCGGAAACAGGAAATAGGAAATACCAAAAAAGGGGGTGAGGGCTCAGGCAGATAGACTGCCGAGGTTAAAACACCCAGAACCATGAAAGCTGTTCATTTCCACCTGAGCGTCAATGAAGCCCCAGGAAGGAGCATAACATCTTTGGAAGCTAGGCGCCTAAGACGTAGAGGAAAGAAAAGGGGGAAAACGGATGTTAGAGGTAGATAGGAATTGTTGATACATTGTGACGGATTTGAATTCCCAGCTCACTGGCAACACTTTTTTTACAGCTCTTTTTCATGGTGCTAATCAAGCCACGGGCGTGTATGCAACCTTGAAAGATGAAACTAAACACGGGAGTGTTATTAGTCTCTGTGAGGGAGACCCTTCCGCCAAGGGGTTGGTGGTAATGGCACTGAAGTTCATTCTCGGCAAGGAATGCAAGCAGGTGTCGGATGGACTTACTGCGCTCGCGTCTAATCCACCCCATTGGCGAGATGTTGTTAACAATGATAATGCCTTGAAATGTTTGAAGGGTGTTTGAAGGGTATTTCTCGTTCTTTCCCCAAACTGTGGATTAGATCGCAGCTTGACATGCTTGCTTATTAGCATACACCCATCCAATGTCAGCGACTGGTCTAACTCGTTGACAGTGAATATGGGAAACCACTGTTTGACGTTTACTTCCTCATCTTGGTGCATCAAGCAACATGAGTTGCACGATGCCCCGCGCGTGGTTGTAGGCGATGAAGGCTTTGGTTACAAATTCCCGTTTCATAAAATCCACCATTGTCAGGTATTCAGGCAGGGTGCTACAGAGGCTGGTGATTATCCACATTGGTCACAATGAGCGGGTCTACATCTCGCAGGGTGTATTGATGAAGGCGATCAACCTGAAGGCATTGCTATCATTGGTGTTAGGTATTTTATTCCTAATTATGGGTATACTATCGTTGAATATATCGAGAGGGATGGTGTGAATGAGGTTGTTGGCGTTGATAGAGATGAAGACGTTTAAGGTTTTTGTTAAATTTTTTATTTAAAAATTTAAATTAATTGGACATCCTGTTGCCTCTACTGTTGGCATGTTCTCGAAGTCCTTCCTGCCTGTCCGGCAATACCAGTAGAATTTAGGGAGATCTTTGGTTTTCATTTTCAAATATATTGGCCTTCTTGAGAGTTTGGGTTGATTTGCATTGGGTTGTTTTGTCAATTGTATTTGGATTCCTCTGGGTTGCCTTGAAGTATTTTAGTAGGAGGTTTGGGTATTTTTCACAGACTTGGGGATGTCGGATCTTCAGTTCGTTTATTGTGAGAGTTCCAATGTCGGCATCCTTTTTTAATGCGGTTAGGTCATTTCATTTGCCTTGAAGGTTTGATCTGTGTGCATCTCCGAATCCCCGGTACTTGTTTAGCCGGATTTCTGTCAAGACGTTGGCTACATCGTCTGCGGTTGAGCACACAAAGAAGAAGGCTAAGTCTATGAGACACACTACTAGCGCTGGTTCGCGGCAGCAGTGGGACATTTTGATGAATCCTGGAAGGTAGTGGCGTGGTTGCCGGTGTCATCGTCGAGAACTACAAAGGTGATATATAGATGACTTGGTCTGGTGGGAGATTTGAAAGGCGTTCAATCATTGCGGGATTGAAGGATGGAATGGTGAACAACCATTATGTTGCCTTTGGGTTATAGGCTATTGTGTTT